AAGCCATTCTTTCCTTGGGAGGGTATTGAGCAAGCCTAACTACAGCTGAAGACAAAATTATAGTGTGAGAATAACCAACTGATACCAAACTCTTCCTGCACACCTTGCTCAAATAAATGACACTGAGCTGCTCTGAACAGACCCTCTGGATCAGAAGTGTTTCTCTCTGGTGTAGTGGCAGCCTCTTCTACTGCTCTGTCTGAATGTCAAGAGGAAGACTCCACCACTTCCTCCTCTCCTTCTCAGGTACTGGGGATGCCAAGGCAAGGAGAATGACAGACTAGCCATGACCTTTTGTTGTAGACTTGTTTTGTTCTCAAATCCTGCAGCTGATCCCTCGTGTTTAGTTCCTCAGCTCTCATTTCCATGTTTAATGCCTCCCACATCTATTATTTGAGATATCAGGCAGTCAGGACTTACATTTTGGACACCCTTTGTTTCCAAAGCTTTCAGAAAAACAATCAATCTGCCTGGTAAGGTTTGCTCTCAGTCTGATGTTCCCTGCTGCTGATATGAGTATCTTTAATACCATATGGATTCTTATCACCCTAATCCTGGCATATTTTGTCTGTATGTGTATGTACAAGCAATGTAAAACCACCCAGCCCTCTTTTACTGGAAATCAGAGATCCTGTGCACACTTCCTTCCCAGCTGAAATCTTGCTGCAGTCCAGACACATATTTTCATCTGCCAGCTCTCAGCCACTCCAGCAAATGACTTCTATATAGCTCAGCAGTTGATTAGTGCACCGTTAATGAGTCCCCTGTGAATCTGCTCCCTTCCCTGTCTCGGCCCATGTGCACTTGAAATGCCTGAGCATCCTGTATCTCCTGAGTTGTCTATAGTGATGGATCGCTGTCCCCAGACAAAGACCCAGAGCACAGGGACTTGAGAGGCACTTTTCTGAGTTGGGTAACCCCAGCTCAGCTTTCAGGCTGGAGCAAGATCAGTAGTTTTGAAGTAAGATCATAAGTATTGAAGGACTGGACAACACTAGACGAGCAACAATTTTTTTGGTTTGTGGAGCTGTCTGAAAAGTTGGCAAAAAGCCCAAAAGGAAGGCTGTCAAAGCATCAGCTACAGCTGTCTTAAATGTTCCAGACTGTCTGTGCTTAATGCTGAGCTTGTTTTCACCTGACAGTTAAGTGAGCTGGCCTCGTCTGAGTACAAGTGACTGAAACATGGAAAAAAGTCAGCTGCAAAAGTGCAGGGTGGTAAACAGCAAAGAAGTTGTTGAAACTTGAATCACTGTATCTGTGTTGTACTGTATGCCAGAATAACAGCACCATTCAGAATCCAGCCATTCTCTTCATTCATGAAGAAAGCCAGATCCACCTTCAGTGTTATCCCAAGCTGAATTTGTTATTTGGGCAAATGAAAGATCTGAGTAATGTTTAACCAAATTAAAAATGCAGCAAAGGCAGATGTTAACTGTTTACTTTCCAAGGCTGATTGCTCAGCTTTCCTCAGGTAAAATGTGAGTTCCCAGTTGCTTAGTCTCTGGTTCCTCTGGTTGGATACTCTGAAACAATTTCCTACAGGCAGACATATGCATCAGTCCCTGACACTCACAAAAACCCATCGAGTCTGATGCAAAACTAAGTGGCATTGCATTTAATTGCATTGTGCCATCACTGCTGGTACCAACAGCTGTTGCAGAGATCCTGGACCCCCCCTCACACCTTTACAGCAGTGCTTGTAGCTCATGCTCTGATGAATTTTTTTCCTAATAATTGTTATATTATAGGTATGGATTTCAGCAGCTCTGAACCAACTCCTGCTGAAGCCAGCAAGTTTCCATTGGTTTCATAAGGACTGTAATGGTACACTTGACTGGTATCAACATATCCTGTATCAACTCTGCTAGCTCAGCAAACTTGCTCCCCTTCCTTGCTATGGAGCGGGGTGGTCTGACAGCTACTGTCTTTCCAAGAAATGTATTCTTAAGTCTAGGCTTCCTGCTTTGAGGGTTTGTGGGCTTTTTTGCTTCTTATGGTGTTTGTTTTGGATTTTTAATACCTTATCTCAACTGGAAAAAAGGATGTTAGTAAAATTCTGGGGGATGGGCTGAGTCTGTGGGTGCCACACACACAGAAGAAGAAAGCATGAGATGACATTTGGCTTTCCCAACCCACTGAAATCACTACAACCTGAGCAAGAAGACTTTTAAAGGAAAACTCTTGTCTTGAATGAAGCTACTTAGATTCCTCCTGCTTCATGAAGAAAGAGCAGCCTGTCTTTGTCTAGTATTGCTGTGGTGACCCAGTTGCAGGTTGGTGAGGGAGGTGCTCTTGGCTCTGAATCCACGCTGTCCCACTGGCCAGCCCCTGTGGTGTACACACTGCACGGGCTATCTCTGGGCACTACACCTGCTCCACAGGCCCTTAGCTATTCATAGGAGCACTTTGTAAGTTCTCTTCAGCTTGTGCTCCTGATTTCACCAACTCAGCCTGAACTTAGGTCCTTCCCCCATAGGGAGAAACTCTAGCTGAAAATAAATCAGAAGGGAAATACTGCTCATCAGTCTGCCCAGCCTCCTGTCCCACCCAGCTCTTGTTCCACTACAGGACTGCCTTCATTTTGTGAGAGATTGCTCTGCAAGGGCACGTCAAGACCTGTTTGGCCCTGAGATTTCCATTCCTGGCACTCCTGACTATATACCCAGGCCAAAAGAGCACAAGTTGGTCCCCAGTGCCAGGAGTATATAGATGCCAGCACTATATATAGGAGGGAAAAAGAGAAAGGAAAACCAGTCTGTGGGCTTGAAAACAGGGGAGGCGGAAGTAAACTGAAATGCCAGAGGGAAGAACATAGCAGAGGAGATTGTGCAGGCTGAGGAGAGATTAAGAGGTATTAGGAAAAAAAAGCAAAAGACATGGGAGACTTCAGATCAATGCTGAGGCAAGCAGCAGGGAATGTTCTTAGCAAGGAGCATTAGGAAGTTGAACACAGATTGCAAGGCATGAAAGGCAGACAGACCTGAGGAGCTGTAAGGGCAACACGGAGGAAAGACCTTAAAATCCAGGAATGGGAAGAAGATACAAAGTATATGAAGAAATATCTAAAATAATAATACTTTCCAAATCAGAAATAATAATTTTCTTGATGTTAGAAAGCTGTATATAAACTAAGCAGTGGTAGTGTAAGAATAATTTTATTTAGTATTTTGGTAACATAATGATACATCTCAAAATGACCGTAGAATTTAGCTTGCTAAATGACTGCATACATTCTAAATAGGTGCTACTAAATTTGAGTAATGTCACAGATTACATGAGGCATTACGTGACCAACAGCTATATAGTGTGTAACCCCCTGACTGACATGAGCAGCGTGGATGGATTTTGCACTAGTAGCCAATGCACAGTTAAAGCTTTTGGAAAAGTACAAAATTGCAAAAGCCATTTTTTATTAAAATATGAATCGATGATCCTTGCATTAGAATAGCTATTCAGCTGTAGGTTACATAATTTATTTGTTTTAATAACAGGACTTAAAGAGGTAAAAGGAAAATTGTTCTGCTAGCATTTGATCTAATGTAGATCTCCATATGAAAATGCCAAGTATCTTATAAAGCTTTTCACAGGTATAGGCTAAGTTCTGTGATATCACAAACTTGTACATAATTCAGAAAAACACCTGAGGTTACTCCATGTGTGTGTAGCAGAAAGCTTTTTTTAGCTCTAAAAAGAGATGCCATATGAAGTCAGAGACTTTAAACAGGTACATTATTAGTGTGGGGGGTTACAGAGCAGTGCTTGTAGGCTGGATTCAGGTTTTTAAAATCAGTAGCGAACTTGTACATCAGATTGGGGTTGTGTTGTTAACCCAGCTCTTCCCAGCATCAGCAGGAGCTCTGCCCCAGCTGCCAGCGTGACTACGACCGGCCACCTGTTGGAAGTCACAGTGCAAATCCTTACTTGCTTAGGTCTCAGCAGAGCTACTTCACTGTGTAGCACTGTAATCTTGTTTTTTTAGCTCTACTAATACTTTATCTGGTGCTCAGATGAGCACAGCAAGTCCTGTGAGGCACTCTCATGTCTGATGGATTCCATATGTGGTTGAAGGCGACCCGCAGCCCCGAAGAAGTGCCCAACACTTTTCAAATCAGGCATTCACACAGGGCTGTTTGCCTTCTAGAGAAACAATGCTTGTTTCACAAAGCTGCATAACTGGAGGTTCAACGCCATAAAGTTTCATGTGTGTTTTACTTTAAAATAATAGGTGGGTTCTTTTAAATTTTATGAACTTTGCCTCACAAATATGGTAAAAGTACTTTTTGTTCAGTTAATGGGTACTTTAATTAGGACGTGTAATGCTACTTTTCCTTCTGAGACGTTGTTCCAAACAAATTGTACTAAAAGTACATAGTTCATATTCAGATATACTATTTAACTCAACCTAACAGAGTGACTAATGAATATGGGTATTATTTGCTGTATGCTTTACTTGAGGCTTGTGGCATTAATGTTTTAGTATAAAAAAGTGATACATTTTTAATATTAAAAACAATCCAGTCTCACTTCTACCTAACTTGGCTGATGTGGATTTTACTGGACTTAACTATGTGCTTAGGGACAACAGTATTAACTCCTTCATAAAGAACCATAAAGTTCAGCTGTACCTTTATAAATCTGATTCAAATGTTTACTTTGTTAAGGAATATGCTAATGAACAGATTGGCATATGATTTGTATCACCCTTGCCATCTAATGACTTAGAAATTCTGGTCTTTCAAAACTTTGTGTAAAGTTACTGTATTAGGACATTCTGTTTATTTTCATATAAAACATGAATTTTAGTATCAAACATGCTCTCAAGCAAAACTTTTATTTTTTTCAGGCATTTATGTAAACATTTTGGAATGCTGAAGGCAAGACTTTACATTGCCATTTTACCAAAAATCACGTGAACACTTATTATTGAGGCATTAACGTACATCCCAGCAGCCACAACGCCAGAGCTGCCATGAGCCTATGGCAATTTCCTGCAGAGTAAATTCAGAAGCAGGCTGCAGTGTTCTGAGCACCTGCTTTTGTTTGTTTTTAATAAGAAATTTCACTTCTGAATGTGGAGTCACTGAAGGCAAACTTAGAGTTAAGGCATCGTGGATGGAGACATGGAAAGGATTATAGAGACAGTTCCTGGAGATGCTCCAACCAGTCAGTAGATAAAAAGCACTTTACAATGATAACTTCTGTGAACAAGCTAGAAAAGAAAAGGCTTACTTTCAAATTGCATATGTTTTACCATTTAATATATTGTTCCCCTGGCTCTCCTTCTAGAATTAAAAAGATGACTGAAATATACCTTGTGCAACTTTTCTTCCTGCTTTTATAATGTGTAATATTGGCTACGTACCAAAAATATTACCAGAACAAGCTCTGAGTTATACAAATCTAAAAAGAGAGGGAGATTATCCATAGATGCAAGGTTTTATTGCTTAGGCATTTGCTGACAGCTGACTTTCACTGGCTGCTTTCTCTGCTTGTAGTCTTTGGACAGCCTGATCTAGCAAATCCATCGTACCTCTAAGCGTAACATTCAAGGTGAAGGGCTTAGGTTTAATGGTCAGCCCGTAGGTAAAGTCCATTTTAGGGTCCTCGTTTGGATTAGCAGTAAAATTGCACTGATGCACCAGTATGGAGGTAAAGAGAAAGAGCTGCACCTTGGACAACTCCTCTCCAATACACCGACGCTTTCCCAAGGAGAAAATCATCACGCTGCTAGTGAGATCTTTATTGATGAACCCGTTCTCATCCAGGAATCTTGTTGGATCAAAATCCTCCGGGTTGGACCATTTTGCTGGGTCGTGATTCACCGACCACTGATTGACAAAGATGACGGTGTCCTTGGGAATGAGGTAGCCCATGATGAAGGTGTTGGTTGTGGTGGCGTGCGGGATAGTCACAGGCACAAAGCTGCTGAAACGCATGGATTCGTACAGGAAAGCCATGATGTAGGGCAGGTGAGGCTGATCTTCAACACACGGCAGACGGTCTCTTCCAACAATCCTATCCACTTCCTCTTGCATTTTAGCCTGCACTTTCGGATACCTGTCATTTAAAGCAAGAATGTGTGCGCGTACATAACATTTTCAATGGATTTTTCTTACAAATAATCCTTGCTGTAAACATTTTTCACAGAATCTCACCACTATCCTAAATGATGCAATTTGAGCAGGAATGTGTAGACCTCAGTTGAAAACTTTGAGAAAAAAAACAAACGTCCCATGGGTAATTTTACATCCATGGTGTAATTTTAGATTTGCTCAGTTTTTACTTTAATATCCCACATAAGTGACTCTCAACATGAAGAATAACAGTAGCCTAAAGTGTGTTGAAACTGAATATTCTGATCCAATTTTGAAAGTTAATTCTAAAACTAGAATTACTTGTCTCTTCTAAGTATTGGATTTTCCATGGGAACAAGAATTTGATTTTCCAACTCTGTATGTGACTTTTAAAAGTTAGCATGGAGTTTGTTATCGCTAGATATATTTAATACCTTTGAAAGCCTGGAGGTTTCTAAACTAGAAAAAAAAATATCCCAAATATTAAATTGTCAGAATGGCTTTATGAACATCTCACTTTTAGTTTGAGAAGATATTTTTTGATTAATATCAAATTATATTTTTTCTATATCGTATTTAAAGATGACTGTCTTGAAGTCTGGACATTTTGGAAGGCTACACAGTAACCAAATAAGATCAAAACGTTAATACATCTTTTTCTTGTCTAAAAACACACATTCTGCCCAGGAGCCTTCATTTGCTTTAAGTGTTCGAGTTTGGCTTCTGCGTCCTTGCTTTTTTCCTCCTGCAGCAGACTCACATGCCAAATGCTGGGCGAACATGAGAAATGGGGATCCCAATTCTGGGATCTGTGCGATGCCCAGAAGTTCCGTGAACACTGGGCATCGCACCCTTCGCTGGAGAGTTAAATATTTGCCTGTTTTTCAAGAAATGACTGAGTAAATAATGTTTGCATAAACCAACAAATTACGCAGGCGGTGAAAGTAAAAGCCGGAGAGGGAGAGTCAGTAGAAGAGTAGAAGGCAAGAGAGTCAGTGTAGTGGCACCCTGTCTGAAAGCGCCTGCCGTGTCCGAGTTTCCCCTGGCCGCTGCCAGGGCAGCGCTCTGCCTTGCCCAGTCACGCAATGGCAAGGAAGGCACACGCAACGGCAGCTCAGCATAATAGCGGGTTTGTAAACCGGTGCACGAACTCTTTATCGCGCTTAAGCAGCTGTTATCCTGTTCCTATGATCTCCTTGATCTTGACCTGCTAAAATCTCTTACTTTCAGGTTTTACTCGGCCGCCTTTCTGTCAGCCTCTCCTTACGCGCCATAACCCGAGCGCCTGAGTAGGGTGGGATTTCTTTTATACTTTCTTATCTCTTTCTGGCAGGTTTCCCAGAGCTTCCGTGTCAGTCAGTCGGAGCCCTCTGGGGCAGCCGGCCCTGCACGGGCTGGCGCTGCCCGCTCTCGCAGACCCCCGACCCGGCGGTGGCTCCCCCCGGGGCCGCGCCCCCGGCTACGCCCGGGCCCG